CCCAGGGGCCGGATCTACCCCCTCCCCTATCAATGTATAACCCTCTTGTTACCTTCCTCTCCTCTCTTTCCACTCTGCAGTGTTATCTATGGAGAAATGTTGAAATGCACTGGGCGGATGCTCTTTGTGAACGCTAATGGCTAGCCTTAATCTAACCACATACAACATCAGGGGACTAAACACCCCATACAAACGACATGTCCTCTTTCGAGAGCTACGTAAAATGAAAAGTGATGTTGCTTTCATACAGGAAACTCCACTAGCACACCAAACCCACGTACGCTTACAATCTGCTTACTATCCCACCTGGTATTACAGCACTACCCCCTCGAGCAGATCCAGAGGCTTGGCCATTGGCTTCCACAAAAGCGTGCCCTTCCGATTATCAGATTCGCAGACGGATCCAAATGGGAGATTCCTGTTCCTTAAGGGACACATTGGGGAACAACTCTATACATTTGTCACGATATATAGCCCGATCCATGCCCAAACGCCCTTTCTGAAAGCTACTCTCCAAAAACTCTGACTTTCAGGGAGGTATCCTCACAGGAGACTTTAACATACAGATAGACTCCCTCCTAGATTCCGCTACCGGACGATCCCACACTTCCTATTCTAAAACTAAACATTATTTAAAAATCCCTTCACCATCTACAATTAATGGATACCTGGTGGATCCTACACCCACGTGAACGGGTTTACACCATTTTCTTACCCGTCCACAACACATACACCCAAATAGACTAGGGCTGCAACAACTAATCGACATAATCGATTATAATCTATTATTGAAAAAGTTGTCAACTTTTACAATCATTGATTAATCGGCTTCCGATTAGTTGGCCCTGTTCACGGCTCTACACACGCTGCGCATCTCGCTCACTACCCGCCCAAATCCACGATCGGCACACGGACGCAGGGAGAAGAAGTAGGGAGGAGCAGGTGTGGGCGTATGACAGGCCCGATCTCAGAAGCAAGTTGCTGGAAGACTGCTCAGATAAGCCTGCACTTTCCCACACATGGTGCTCTATAATCTATTGCTTTTTTCTTGTCCGTAGTAGGTTTCAGGGCTGCCTCTAACCTGAAAAGCAGATCACCTGTAAAAAGAATATTACATAAACACAGCTTAGATGCAGAATCACCTTCCAAAGTCTTTAATCACAAGGCACGACGTGAAGCTCTGGCAGGCATTCTGAATGATTCCACATGGGCAACTGCAATAAAACCAACGGATTTGAACAGCATAGGGAGCAAGTCAAACAATTGTTCCCTAGGAGTACCTGCAAACAGATACACCTTTAACTAAGCCAGAATTCTAAGTTTCTGGCAGCACAAGTAGTGGCTAAGGCAGGCCTCAAATTAGCCAGAGTGCTATTTAGAATTATAGAAATCCAAGCTCCTCTGAGCAAGACTTTCATCTTCTTATCCATGGAATTCCTGAGAATACCCATATCCTCAAAGGCTAGATCAGATTTTTTTTAATAGAGATTTTAGACAAAGGAGCATCTAATTTAGGGACCTTATTCCAAACCATGGCTGGACCGCCAAGGAATGGAAATCTCTGTTTGAGATTAGATAAAAGAGGCTTTTTTTCTGGTTTCACTAACTCTCCAAGTATGGAATCAGAAAGCAATTTATGCACAGGAAACATTCTGGACTTCTTCCTCTGCAAACCCTCATACATAAGGTCAGGTTTTGAAAGCTGTACTTTTTCCTCCTGAATTTCTACGGTTTCATAGATAGCTCTAAGTAAATTGTCTACATCCTCCAATGAAAAGTTATATTTAGAAACACTGGAAGAATCACCCTGACCACTAAACTCCTCAACTGACGAGTCAGCCTGTGAGGGACCTGCATCACTAAGATCTCAGAAATCACTATCACTAAGGCTCAGAAAATCCATGCAAAACGTCCTCTGAAACCACCCAAGACTGAGTCATGGCCGGAGCTTTCGAATTCTCCAACAGGGACCGAAAACATTGAAAAGTGGACACCAGCTCCTCTTAACTGAAGAAAACAAGCTGCTTGCTGCAGGCTGAAGCAGATTCTTCCTTAAATAGTGCACTGATACAAGCTTGACTTGGTACATCCAGAGTTAGGTTTAGCACTACAGACTGCACAATTCTTCCTGGATGCAACTTTTGACTTATCAGGTGCCTTGGCCTGAAACAAGAGGATTCAAAATTTCCAATTACTAAGATGCCCGATAGAGGAAAAACGCAGTGCCACACTCCACCTTCAGCCCACCACCAAGGGGCCCCAGGTGAGACAACTCATGCTCTGCTCTAATGAGTCACTGCTCTGAGTCTCTGTACAGAAGCATGCCTAGACACACTCCAAGTGACAGCAGGAATTAGACAAATTCAGACGCTCAGCAAAGGCAGAATTTTCAGGGATTGTGTGCTAAACTCTAAAAAAAAAATTCGGTCAGCCTTGCTGAGATCAGCAGTAGACTATAGCCAAGTCTTTAGAGGCAGCGACCAGCAGAGCTTGTCTACAACAACTGAAAACATGTGGTGGTGCATTGTTCATCAGCTGGAATTTGTATCCATCAACCGTCAATAGGTTTAAGAGAGGATACATTTATATATCGATATATTTATATCTATGCATAAACAAGTAAACACTTTAATGTGACCTGTTACCAGATAACACTTAGCAGACTGAAAATATAATTAGAATGTATGAAGGTAGCACTTACTCAAGCTCCAATTATGCTTTTAATAGATGTTTCCTGTTTGTAAATAAAAAGCTCTGAAGTTCCGTTTAACCCTTTTGCCAACCACCATCTACATATAAACATTCCACAGCACAATGCCCCCTGTTGGGGATATGTTTGTAAAAACATTCTTCCCATTCAGACCCATCAGACAACACTTTGTGTAGGTGGAGGCTCTTAGTCCCAGGTGTCCCCAACAGCTTTGGTCGACACTGAAGATTGGGAACCATGATTCACAATCATTCGATAACTATGTGAACTACAATGTAGTGATTGCATGCTGGCTGGAGGCTTCTTTGAGAAAAACAGAAGCCTTGACAAAGTCACACCTTCTGGCTGCATTGTTCATCTGCAGTGCCATATGTTTAATGCTGTGATTAGATTACTGTAAAAATAACCAATTATTTATCATTTAGGTATGCAAAAAGGTTGATTATTATTGTCAAGTTAGCTGATGCTACTAAATTTGACCTGGGTATCTATGCAATGACTTCTGGGCATTAAAGTGTTAACCTTCGACATTTGGGAGTGTCTAAGGTTTGCTCTGTCTCACAGTGGCAACTGATGTAAACCCCCTCTGCACAAATTGGGCATGTCTGTTCAAGCACAACAGCACATCTTATGCCTTCATCTCAATAAGAGCTTTATGAGCAGACAGCAGGATTCCAGGTGATTGATTTTTTTAGCTTAAAAATTCTATTGTGCCAAAAACAAGGGAGTAGACAGGGTGTAGAGATGGAAGGCTACTAACATTGAAACAAATGTAGCCTTCACGAGCACTTCAATTTAAATCTGCACACAGCTTAATTTGCTTAACAACATATACAGTACAAAAAATGGTATCTCAGGCACTTTTGTATTATTTGAAAACATGGTCATTCTGTATTTGCTCTAGAATACCCAAGCTCTCCACACATTTATAAATACAGTAATATCCAATATGAAGTACTCTTTCATGCTGATTTGTTTTATCGCACCTTTTATAAAGAAGGCAAAAAGTGCATACAATAGTTTAATGCTGTAAAAATACCAAATATAAAGCAGAGTTTGCCTCTGCACTATTTTTAAAGCACTAGAAATTCCACAAAGCAAATTACAAATAGAAAAAAAATAAGAAATAACAACAGGTAAGGGGGGAAAAAAAAAAAATTCTTCACGGTTATTTTACAAACATTTTTCCTAAAAATCAACATTGGAAAAAGCTAAATAAATAGTTTGGGCTTCACTTTCTTGAAACCGTCTAGAGTTTGTCTTTTGGAATAACAAGTATGCCGGATCCAAACTGGTGCAGACACAGTCTGATGTGGACAAAGTGCATGATGCTGCTGGTGCTGAAAGTGACTCTTAAAGCTGCAGAGGTCTGAGCGTCAGACACAAATGAATCAAATATTTAGAGTACCAAAACAATCTTCCATTGGGAAATAAATTTATACTGGACTGCAGAGAAGTAGAAGAGTAAAAATGGTAAAAAATTTCGTAAAGGTGACCAGGAATGGTAAAGGCAGTCACATGATCACAGATCACGTTTTGAATGTATGAGGCTAGATTAGAAACAAGTAGTTGTGCAAGACTAATCCCTTTCATGGTGAAATGGAGTTTATGGCATTTTCCAGATGATACAGGCTATGACATAAGAAGGCATGGAAGTTTCAAACTTTCCACTGGTGCATACGGTCATGCTTTTTTTTAAAAGCGCCAAAACAGTCCAGAGTCTTAAGGCAACCAAGTTAAAAATACTAATAGGTGAGTACTTGTCACAGTATAGAAGTTTTATTTCCGTGGCCTGATAAAAGTTGGAAGTGCTCCTCTAGCTGTTAGTCCTTCAAAGCGCTTGTATGTGTAGTTAATGAAGACCCAATCCTTGTTCTTGAAGTCTGATTCGGGATGGCTGCTTGCACCTGAGGAAAGACAAGAGTGTGAGAAGTAAAAAAATAAAAAAAAATCATCCTAAGGTTGGCCTAAACAGGAACTTAAAACAGTACCTCTGAATTTAATATAAAAAAAACTGTATAGTAAACTAGTATAGCACTAAAATAATAACTCAATTTTCCCAGCAAACACAAATTACTATTTAAAAGTCAACAGTACTTCTGAAGATGCTTACCCTGCTAAGGGGCCCAAGTATTTTTCCACAGCAACTTTCTCCATCCTGAGCCACATCCCCAGTGTATGCCAAACCCAAAAAACCTAGTTACTTCAATGGAATGCCCATCTTTAGCTTGTTAGATTGCTGACATACCACACATGTGGAGAAGAGGAGGTACAGTCCTGAAGACTTTGTGCAGCAAAGATCACTGGGGAACTCATTTTAGGTACATTCCCTTACATAAACCCAGCAGGAGGCCCTGGAAAAGGATGACTGCACTAGAAATACACTCATACTTTAGATAGGCAACTTACCCATTGGTTTAAGAATATCTGAATCCGGAAATTCATCAAAATTTGAAGTGTCATCAATACTTTTTATTTCAATAGGTATAGCAGCAGGTCTTTCCCTGTAAATTAAATTGTAATAAAATATTTATGCAGAATATAATGTAACCATTGTAGTGAACCCAAGGAAAACAGCTAAATACACATTTAAACTAGATATATGTGCGAATAGTCATACATAACAAAAGCTTTGAAATTCTCCTAAGACAGCTTTATAATTTACAGACAGCAAAGCAGATGACTCTCCTAACACCTTTTTCCATCTGCCTGCTCATTGGACAATAAACCTGAATTATCAGCCATGTCCGATCAGCAGTGCAGAGATCCAAAAAGCAAAAAGGTTGAGCCAACGAATCAAGGTTTGCAGGCTGTGCAGTGTGGAAGAAGCATTGCAACTTCTTTCTCTGATAAAGTTTATGTGTGTGTGTGTGTGTGTGTGTGTGTGTACTGGAGACGGCAACCCGCAAATGCAGCAGTGCCGTCCGTCCGTTTTTTTACTACGGGCGGACGGCAAGAGGTTAAAGTGGCTGACCGATGTAACAAAGCCCTAAAACCCCCAAATGCGGACACCAAGTTAACTAGAGCTGCAACAGTTAAATCGATTTAGTCGATTAAAATCGACGATTGAAAACGTTACCAACGTTTTCGATCGTCGATTCGTCGGCTATCAATTGATTTCCCTGTTCGGGGCTCTACACGCGGCCTGAAGCACACGTCACACGCTGCTCACGTACCGCTGCGCCCGCCGTGCTCACAGGACACCTCCCACCGCACGCTGCTCCCGCCGTGCCCACAGGACGCATAAGCCACGCCCACCGCTGAAGCCTGTTCGCGGCTCCACACTCAAGCCCCGCACGC